TGTCACTTAACCGACTTCGTATCTCTCACCGTTAAAAAGATACCCATGGTGAGCATGGTAAGTGGGACACACTGTATAAAGTTGTGAAGGGAAATACGAAAAGTAATTTTTTCTTCGACCTCTTTTTTTTTTCTTTTTTTTATGTTCTGGTTCCTACGAAAAAGGAAATCCTGTAATGTAATGTAAGGGAAATAAGGTAGGAATTGGTGTTCTTAAATTTCTAGAGGTTATATGTCTCGGGGAACACCTCCCTTGGCAAGTACTTTTTATCCGAAGACACAAACTTTTCGTTCGCCACTACTGAATTTTCATTAGATCTCCTGATTTGCATATTGATCTACTAGAACATTTCATTACCTACTGAAAAATATTTCGACACTTATTTATTATTATAATCACCAATATTATCATCAATCTCTAAGTAATAAATTCACATATAGGTACTGCTGATATGTATAATACTAAAAAGGATAATTCTTTTTTTGTGGAAATCTTATCGTTTGTGAATTGGTTCAACAGTATCGTAACATTTTCAGTTCAATAATAATCTTTGATTGTAATGATCACTGTCTCATTGTAAAGAGGGTAAAAAGAATAGCATATGTGAGAACTTCTGTTGATTCATCTCAATCCGTTTCGAACTATTCGTCAAAAAACAATATTCAGATTCGTATTTTCAACACCCTATATTAATGTTTGAAAGTATATGTCTATATGAACTTTCTTTATTATTCCAACGAGTACAGCACACTGTTGAATTTTTTGTATTACAAACTAGACCACCCTGTATACTACCCTGATGTGTGTGTATGTTTCCTCCCCATACACATTTTACCGATGCTTTCCATTTCAATTACGTACGGCATTTGCGGAAAATTAATATGTATATGCTCATTATCATACATGAATCCAAATGGAACATCATACATCAAAGCTATACCATCAGAGTTGATCTATTATGATGTCACATTTTGCCAGCGTTACATCAATATACAGGCTGCTATCGGATTTTATTAACATGCAATATACGATGTGAATTATAAATTAAACGATAGAGGTCGTTTTTCAGAACATACTGCCAAAAGTTTATAATTTTTGTATTTCGAGAGATGAGTTTTTCATCAAGCCTATACAGTGTGTCCCACTTACCATGCTCACCATGGGTATCTTTTTAACGGTGAGAGATACGAAGTCGGTTAAATGACACCAAATGTGGAGTTTGTCAAGGCCAACTATAATGTGAAAAAATGTTTTGATAAAATCTATTCGTTTTTGTTTTATACGCAAAAAACAGATTTTGATCATTTCCATGTCTCCTCCGTAGCTTCTTTATTTATGAAAATATTCAAATAGGAATTTCACATCCTCATGGCAGTTTTTCAAAGTGATTTCGAAAAAAATATGAAATTTATACCAACTCTTCTAGAATTTGAGATATCAGCACCAACTTCAGTTTTTCGAATGTAGGTCATAGCTCACTATGACTTAGTTACAAATAACTTTTTTTTCTCTCACAGATGATATGCCGCAGTAATAGTTTTGTGTTGATAACAACGGAGTTATCGTCATTTATACAAAAACAAAAAATTATTTGGAAGCCGCCATCTTGAATTTATAAATTTTAACAAAAAAATCATGATCTGAACAAAAATTCCATAACTCCGATTAACTTGGAATTTGGCTGGTGTTCATAATTTCGGTGACAATTATACATTATGGAATTTTTGTTGAATTTGAAAAAAATGGCTGCTTCAAGATGGCGGACAAGATTTGGTCCGATTCCATTCAAAATTGGTAAGTGGGGGTTTTTGAGGTCGAAGATCATGATTTTTTGTTAAAATTTATAAATTCAAGATGGCGGCTTCCAAATAATTTTTTGTTTTTGTATAAATGACGATAACTCCGTTGTTATCAACACAAAACTATTACTGCGACATATCATCTGTGAGAGAAAAAAGAGTTATTTGTAACTTAGTCATAGTGAGCTATGACCTACATTTGAAAAACTGAAGTTGGTGCTGATATCTCAAATTCTAGAAGAGTTGGTATAAATTTCATATTTTTTTCGAAATCACTTTGAAAAACTGCCTTGAGGATGTGAAATTCCTATTTGAATATTTTCATAAATAAAGAAGCTACGAGACATGGAAATGATCGAAATCTGCTTTTTGCGTATAAAACAAAAACGAATAGATTTTATCAAAATATTTTTTGACATTATAGTTGGCCTTGACAAACTCCACATTTGGTGTCATTTAACCGACTTCGTATCTCTCACCGTTGAAAAGATACCCATGGTGAGCATGGTAAGTGGGACACACTGTATAGTGGAATATTTCATAAATCGTTATACCGATGCCAAAATGTAATGACAATATTATTCTCCATTGGTCTACAATACTTTTCTCACTTGTTGAACTCGAACTGAGTTAATATAGCAATCATGATCTGTACGAATAATAGCTAGGTGATCGGTTTGAGCCATTTTGGAATCAACAAATCTAGTGTAGAAGTCCATGTTGTCTAAAATTGAAGTGAAGTGGTTCATATAGTAAAAATATGGTGAAACCGAAGCCGTGGCACTTGAGTTTTGGTAAGGAGTTGTTCGACATATTTCGAGGATGACGACAAAAATGTCTGTTGACTGGGCTTGTCTAGTACGTCTGAGTGATGGGAATAAAATAATGAGATTGCTATACATGATGATTCCTCCTCATATCGCGTAGAATTTATAGAAAATAATCAGGCAAGAATGCAGAAATGTGTCAGAGCAGATAATTGAGTAAACAATCCAGTTTTTTGATAATTTATTTGGACATTCCCCATTTTTCCCTTGAATCTTTGTACTTATTTTTTGTTTTCGATGATTCTTCCATTCAAATATGATTTTCATTTCTAGTTGTTCAACTTTATTGCTCATTATACTCCATCAAATGAATCCAGGTAGTTTGATTTCAGTTTCCTTCAACTTCCATAAAGTAAGAAGGTTTAAAACTTTGAAATGCGTTTTTCTAGAAACTTACTTTTTGTGACATTTCCCCTTTTCCCCCTGTGGTCTTCATATATAATTTGATGATATCAAACGTTGTGGACACGACTCGGAGTATTATTAATATAAGAAATATACACACACTGGCACAATTAGGGGAACGGGTAAAATTTACACTAAGTTTGACATCAATTTTCTCTCGAACCGATCACTCGCTTCAAATTTGTTTTTCACGAATTGTAGCTTCATTCTTCACGAATACATCTGAGAAATAACCACTTCCAAACGATTCGTCTTTATATCATATACAGGGGTGTAAAGAAAGTACGGATTTTTCGGTATTCTTCAAGACATCCTGTGGAGTGAACCACTGATAATTGAACCGATTTTCCAACACCAAATTATAGCCCAATCTCGTTTTTTATTCATCTTGATATCCCAATTATACAAGAAAATATAGAGTTTCAAAGAAGAGAATATTGGTATTAATTTTACCACATCGAAACTCGAACTGGGGAGAACGTGTCGTTTTTCAACTTGTTTCTGTGAGGATTTTTACTTCAAGATGAGAATTGTTCACAGTTTTACCTATCGGTTTACTGTTTAAAGACACATATACGAATACTCTCATGAATATGCAGGGGTGATAAAAGTTGCTCCAATGTTCTTTTGGTGAAATGCTATTTTTGTTAATCGACGTTGGCTCTTTTGTTAATGTTATTAATTATTGTCAAAGTCAAGCGATTCACAATTCATAAATTTGATTGATGAAAATTCAACGTGAGAGATTTGACTCCTACTGATGTGGCAAGGGCTGTAGCATTAATTGAAAATGACCAGTGGGTCAATGTTCTTTTAACATATGAGAGCCGCATCTGCACCAATTCAATAGATGGCAGGAGAAGACTATATCGCCGAGGTGAACGAAATGAACAATTTGATTTCACTGCTTCTGTCTCCTATGGTAGAGGTTTAGTCATGGTTAGGTTAGTCAAGAAACGACACATTTTCAGATCCAATTTGAGTTTTGAGGTGTAAAATTGATACCAATATCCACCTTTCCTTTGAAACTCTGTATTTTCTTGAATAATTGAGATATCAAGATGAATAAAAAACCGAAATATTAGGAATAGATTGGGCTCCAATTTGGTGTTGAGAAATCATTTCAATTATCAGTGGTTCAGTCCACAGGATGTCTTAAAAAATACCGAGAAATCCTTACTTTCTTTACACCCCTGTATATGATGGAAAGACTCATTTTCTGAAGGTAATTATTTCTCAGATGTATTCGTGAAGAATGAAGCTACATTTCGTGAAGAAAAAAAATTGATTCGAGCGATCGGTTCGAAAGAAAATTGATTTCAAACTTAGTGTAAATTTTGCCCGTTCCCCTAATTGTGCCAGTGTGTGTATTATCAAAAATGTCCTAAATAAAAGCAATAACGATTAAATGTGCGATAAAACCGTGATTATACAATAGTGGGTGACTCATTTAGACTCTTTCCCATAAAACATCTCGTTCATATCCCTTTTTCTAAAGCCCTTTATACCTATAGCTCGTCAGTCACTTGTCCAATTTAATTTTTAATTAAACGATCCGCATCGTAGTTTCGCCAGATAGCGTGAGATCTTAGAATGAAAACTGCATATTGCATTTCCTTGCACGGAAAACAACGACACATCGCATGATCTGGATTCTATACAGGGAGGCCCACATCACACAGAATAAGAAAACAATATTGATTTTTCTGCAACCGACACAAAAGACGCCCACTTCGATACCAAAATTATCTCTTAAATTGACGTTTCTATTACTGACACAACAATAGGTATGTTGCTAGGCATCATATTCAATTCATAAAAGCTGAAGTGGAACTTTAGTCCCTAGGAGCTAAAATCGAACTTTAGTCCCTAGGAGCTAAAATTGAACTTTAGCTCCTATGAACTAGAAATGATGTACTAGACGTCATCAAGAATAAATAACATTGTTATGATTGGTTATTTGGCATACCTCATTTGTTTCCGATTTCGGCAGATTTGGCATTTCATACCCATGCTAATCCAAAAAATGAAATGGCACTTGGTTTCGGTACACGGTAATTCACTCGGTGCGGACGGCCATGCACACTTATTTACTCACTATCTTGTAGTATACCGATCTATCAATCCGTGTTAGTCTCGGGAAAATACCTTTTATAGTTTTACTCAAGGTCATGTTCAGAAACCGGTTAAGGGATCAGCAAAAACCACAAGGTTTTCTGAAAAACACCGAGGCCAGAACGCAAATGCTACTAAGAAAGAGGTACAAAAACAACGAGGTCAATAGATGAAAAACTATGTACAAAAACACTCGACTCGGGAGCGATAAAAACTGTCGAACTGCACCAAGATCCACGCAAAAAATATAGACCATGACTCTAAGCGTTTCGTTTTTCCAGGTCACATACAATACAATAATAATGTCCAAATAATAAAAAAAAAATTCGTACTGGATAACAAGACTATTCAATTCTACACTAAATGCAAATCACTATCAATAATATAAATAGGGTAGTAACGAAGCATTCCCTGATAATTCCGGTATGATTTAGGAAAAATGGAAACAAACTATTTATAATATACATTGCTCAACAGTAGACATTAGAAGATACACTGCACAACCATAGTAATGGCACTTATTCTCGTTAAACGGCAAGAAGGAAAATAAATGCTTCGTTACAACATGTTTATATGATCTTTATTTCTTGAAATATCACTGGGAATCACTACTTGAATTTTCTCGGTGTTATTTACATACACCCTGTATATCAATTCCAGGAATTCGTTCATTGAATGAATAAACAATTTCCTGGTCTGTGGATCATTATATTATAATGAAAAAATGACACACTCTGTATGGTAAAGTTAAGGCAAAGTTTAATAGAACCTCGCGTCTTCCTTATTGTCTCGATCGTGCAAAGAGACATTCTTTGTATGTTAATGCGGCCAAGCAATGTTATGTCTCAATATTGTTCTTGTTAAACGCCTCTTGTTTTGTTTTGATAGCAGCAAAAGGATTTAACGTATTATGCAGGTATGGAATAGCAGCGTTACATTGTCTATGACGAGAATTTGGATTGTGTTTCAGAATAAATGTTATTTCAGGTCTTATACGATAACAAAAATGAGAAAATGATGGACATCATGAAATAGTATATTATTCAACGAGCGCATTATGATGACTATAACCCACGGAGCTGAAAGTTGCAGTACGAGCCGAAGGCTACAACTATTCAAATATCAAAGCAACTCAGAAATATATTTTTGGAAATAATGGAGGTTATTATATGCCATTTCACTTTTCAGTTGTGAAATGAATCATACTATTGCAGATTATTAACTTGCTTCCGCTGTAGCATTCCCCCACCGCGATGATTAATTGTAGAACCCTGCCTCTAGACGCTAGTAATCAACAATGACCATTCATGGTTCTGATTGGTCTGTACTGATCTATTCGAATAGCCCGCACATAAGTGTGAGCCAATCTGCAACTGTCAAGTGTCAAGTCCAATTTTATGGTTATGGTTACTCATGATGGTAGTCACTGTTGCCAATGAAAAACAGTAAATTCTCATTTTTCCGTGTATTTGTAGAATCAAGGTGATTAAAACTTTGAGAACCATGCAAGGTGAATCTTTTGAATTTGCGTGTATTTCACAAACAGTAGTATAGTGGTGTGATTTAGTAGAACAAGTAGAACGAATACGAATAGTTGATGATCAGATTATTACGCCATCCTACTGTCATTATTACTCTTATTACTCGATTCATCAGAAGAATATCTGTCATTAGTAATAGTCAACTTCCTGTAGCTGCTCAACGAACCCTATACTGAGTGGTATGATAAGCTAATATTTCTGTCACCCATTTCATATTTTCAGAAAAAAAACTCTGTATATGAGCTCGCTTCCACAAAATAGTGCAATCAATTCCATCATAGCTATACTTCAAACAGATGAACAGTGTTCGACTGTCCACAAATTTTCTGGAATTGCCATGTCATAAAGCTTTGAAAGTATATATCATTGCGGCGTTTCATAATTTTCAATTCAACTGCTGACACTGGATTTCAGGCATATTGTCGACATTCAGAACAAAGGTTTGCTGATCGGTAGAATTATTATCGAATAGCTTTGACAGTCCATCAATACATATATTTCTGAGAAGTATATCCATAGCGTTATTACTTCTAAAATAACATGAAGAATCAACATTTTCAAATTTTCTTCGCATTCATGATGCAGTTGTGAAGAGGTAAATGATATTCATTATTCCAGATTGTCAGTCAGATGATTTGTACCAAATATCACTGCGTTTAAATATTTTTCCTAGCAGAGAGCCTAAAAGAAGAATTCGCAAGATTGTCAGTGACAATTTGTATTATAAAAGGTTTAGAGGAGGGAAATAAAGGTATATAGAAAAAATATCAAATTTTCACTTAGCTTTGGACGTTTCGTGAACGAATCTGCTCCCGCTTTCAACATAAAAAATGGATTTTTTGTATGGCAAATTCGTATTTGCCCTGACACTTTTAAAGCTATTGTCTTCGTTCAGAAGAATGCAAGCAGTTTACTTGATTCTTCTCTTCTGGTTGATATATTCTTTTTCAATGATTTTAACATTATTCCACTCTGCCATATGTTGTGATTCTTCAGTAAGGATATGTTCAGCTAGTTTCGATGGTATACAGGGTGAGTCATAACTATTGGGAAATAGGCTAAGAGCGGATTGTTTGGACCAAAATATGGCGATTGGACCAAACATGCCTCAATAAAATATTGCTGAGAGATACAGGGCGTTAAAGTTGATTTTTTTCGTTTTTTGTCGGTTTTCTGCCAATAATCTCACTGTATATGAAAAAGTTTTGAAAAAGTTTTGTGATTTGGTTGCTTTCTGCCTAGATATTAGAGATATTACAATTCATACCTTCTGGCTGCATCCCGCATTTCTTCATTCATAAAATGATTGTGACAAGGCATTTCAATCGAAAAAAATTTAACTATATATATTTTGGAGTTCAATTAGGTAACTAGAGAATTTCCAGGAAATATAGGTAATTGTGGTTTTTAGTATGTATTTCACAGCACAAATCGGATAGATATCGGATTTTCGTCAAATTCGATTGGTTCAAAACGTAAATTGGTGCTTTGTTCATTTCATTTATATCGATATAGTGGTGTATATAGGATAGGTATCGGTATAAATTGTTTTGTTGGTTGGAATGAAACAAATATGGCTATCATGGACAATGAAATGAGCATTTATTATTCATGAACATTTTCAATCGAGTTTCGCTGAAAACTTTATTATGTTGATGGTTAACGGAAATTGTTCATTTACACGTTTTTGCCAATACCGATGAGGAATTTGAATAATAAAATAATCTGTATTTTCCAGGAATGAACCATATTATTTTCCAAGTCTGCATATTGAAGGAATTTCAAAAGCATATTATTTGAAAACATAACAAAAAGGTACTTGAAAATTTTCCCTTTTCTATCGAAGTGAATCATTGCAACAAACGAGATTATTTATTGAGTTTTGACATTTTGGAGGTTCTGATGTTTAATTCATATAATAACTTATAAGAAATGGATGTGGGTAATGATTTCAAATCGCGATTGAAAACAATATAATCATCAGAAAACAAGGGAAATCTACTTACAGTCACCAGCAAAAAAAAACGGCCAACTAACAATTTTGCCAGATTGATCGCCTTGTAACGTTTTTGATTTTTGTCCAGATCAAGTGAGATATCGGCAAATGGGCGTGTACACCTTAGTAGATCGAACCATGATCCTTTTATTCATAAATAATGATTGACGACATAATTCGATCGAAAAATTTACTGGAATGTTTTATTTTTGGACATAAATAATAGAACCTTCTGAAAACGGACCCTCTTATGACGTAGAAACCTCATCTCGCCATAGTTAAAAAAAATACCATACGCCCGACGGAGACTGAGGCAACTGATATATTAATTCTTTCAACTGTGATCTTGCGCTAATTCACTCTGTCAGAATTCATGTATCATTCATCTCTGTCTGGAATAGTCTTGTTTCAGTATTAGGGTTTTTGACGTCACATCATCGCCTCGTTTCCAGAGGTCCGAAAAATCGGGGATTTCAATAATTTTTTATGAAACGTAGGGAGCTCACAGCAAGAAACGGTTTGCGGTGGTGAGCTAGTTTGGGTGAGTTCTATCGAATTATGAAATACATTTTTTCAGCTGTTCTACGAAGCATATAATTTCCAGAAATTCAAGAAGAACACCAATTCCTACCTTATTTCCCTTGGTTCTCACGATATTCTCTGGACATTACAGGATATCCCTTCTCGTGGGAACCAGAACATAAAAAAAAATTTTAGATGTTTTTTTAAGTTGTTGTTCGATACGTTCATGTAGATTCTGCAAATTCGAAAAATCTTCACTCTCTTGAAAAACTTGTATCTTCTCTTGAAAAGAAGATTTTGACGTGGATCAAGAATAATTTTGTTGAGAAAGGATCACACTTCAATCTAAAACATGACGAAGCTGTGTTTTATCACTAACTGTTGCCAAAGGGCGTTAAGAAGTTAAACTTGAAATAATAACTTTTGTTTCTCTGGAACTAAACTAAATTCCAGATTGACAATACGAAACATGATTTTTTTTTCATGTTATGGTTCTCACAAGAAGGGATATCCTGCAATGTTCAGAGAACATGGTGAGAACCAAGAGAAATAAGGTAAGAATTGGTGTTCTCATTAAATTTCTGGAGGTTATATGCCTCGGGGAACACCTTCCTTGGCATCGAAATGGATGTCTTCAAAGGTATGGTTACTCCTGACAAGCTTATGTTGGGCACAGTTAGATCGGCTTTTCTAGAAAAAAGATGGAAGCCTGGCGAGGAGTCCGTGGTACAATATTGCCTATCGTTGATAATACCTGAATGTTCGAGGTATTCCATGAGCTCGATGTTGATAGCTTTGTCCATGATCTTTGAGATAATAGAGAGCAGTGCGATTGGTCAGTAGTTGCTAGGTGTAGAGTAAAAATTTCACCAAGGTTGGACAAGGAATTGAGGAGTCACAAGACGATCAATTTTTTTTTTATCGCTTGGAGCGCACGAAAGGGAATCCCTATA